TTGAAAAAATAGCTTTTTCATATGTTTTACTAATTGATCGGCAAAAATTACGTAGACTTTTGTCCAGTGAGTGTATAGTTCACGATACTAACTATTGACAAGCCTGTAAGACCTGATATTTAATTACAGTATCTCGTTGCAGAAACAAATTCCAGCCGTTTATTGCTGAAGAAAGTTGTCATCGCAGTGTGTTCAAAGTGACTGCTTCAATAATTGTAAGACTCTATTATCGAGATAAATACATCGTGTAGGGGATAGAAAAGAAGCGCGCATATAATATAATTAGCAATACGAGCTAATTTGAGAAAACCCCTCCCGGCAGAACAATTTATTTGCTTTCTCACTTAAATTTGAACGCCTTTTTTTTGTTATACCAAATTTATAGTTGCAATTTACAACAGCGCTAGTCGTCCGATTTTAATAAAATAGGAGCTGCGTTCGATCTGTCTTGCAGTTAATTTTAAGTCATTAGAGAGAACTAACTAACTTTATTGAATAGACGGAGATCTTTAAATACATATGTTTAATTTAAATGTTTCTCGTTTTTTTTTATTTGCCGCCATTTGACACGAATCCCTCCTTGTATCGAAAACGTAAATGAAAATATTTTGTCACCCGTATATCTATACTCGAGCCTTGGCCGATCATCAAATGTATCCGCTTACTCAGAATACCAGGTCAATATGGATATTCAAAAATCTACACTATCACTGTATTCCGGTATGTCTTCGTTCTCTAAGAGATGTCCTGTGAATAACTACAAGAAAACAATTTATACTTATGATTACACCATTCTCTTGCCTCCAATCCGATATGGCCACGCGCCACCCATATAGAAACTGAACATACTGTACCGTGGCGACAACACATGATTTCCCCGATGAGATTCACAATGAAAATTCTCATCACACCCGCTGAGCCATAGGCTATATACAAAAGATGAGAACAAGATACCAATTCCTTTACACGATCCCGAGTTAAAAGCCCCGATCTGTTTCCCGACGGACACGGACATTATGGTGAAAATCCCTCATGATGGAATTGAATAAAGTTAGTTCTTTATCTTCAACACGATTGAGAAATGACTCTAACTTACTCCTTGGTATTAAAAACAGTTTCTATTTTATACTCTCCCGAATTACACCCAGTGCAGTTGTAAAGTTTTTTTGCTTTTTTGTGTTAATTTGCTCAGTTGTCTCTTTTCCTTCTTATTCTTTCTAACCGGTAAAAAGAGAAACTACAATTAATAATTAGTTAAAAGTCGCCTTGCTAAATGTGTTTAACGCTCAATACCACACTATTATTTATAGCCGATTCCAAACGTTCCTCAAACAATGTTTCGACTCTTTTTTCGATGAATTCTCTGTAACTTTATGGCACACGAACAACTTTTGATACTTCTATTAACCCATGTAATATCAACATACAAAATAAAATCTGCCTCACGTGCGAAGCACAATTATGATAATAGCGATACATCGTTCTGATACTTTACCCAAAATATATCAATAAAAGAAGATCACAAGTCTAAAAAGAAGCGTGTAAGGAAACACCCCATTCTAAAGCGTAAGGAGTAAAGTTAATCATAAAGCTTTGTGGCGGAGCTAGTGTCCCGACATACATAGTGAACTCGATAAGTCGGACAAATCCCTCTGCACTTTTCTTTTTTTTCATATTAAAATCATTTCGATCGGATTCCTTGATAAGTCGGACAGCCCTGCTCGCCCCCCGTGTCCGACTTATGGAGTTTTGCTGTGTATGTAGAAAACTTCTATGTCTGGGTAAAAATTTGTACAGATTTCGCAGCCGCTTTTTAGTATGCTGCGACGTAATAAGCCAGCATATCCCGATCTGTTGGGCATCTAAAATCGAAGGTCATGGAACTTCTCCATGCATGATGTAATCGTGTTACCTGATGATTGTTACTTATTAACAATAATAAATAATATTTGCAATCGATTAATCGAGTATTTATCCGCCGTTTTTCCTGTCCATCCGCCGCTTCCACCGCGTTATCCACAGCTTTTCCTGCTGATAATTTCCAATTTAAGCCAAATACAACCAATCACATAACTGGGTTTTAAAATTATTTTGTACTACACGCAGATTACGGTAAAGCGCAGGATAATGATGAAAATAAAAGGGAAATTGTAGATATAGATAGTGATTCAGCTGATAAATCAAATTAGAATAAAAATCGGACGATCGTATCTCCATTTTCTGCGATCAAACCGCCATTTCAACGGACTGGAGAGATTTAAATGGCCCTTGGTACAATCAATTTATACTTGAAGCGGCGAGAGTTATGCCGGAATGGAAAACTTCAAACGCAAAGGTAAGTATCTTGTGTGGACCCTCTTATAATGGTCACTACCATAAGTAAGAGGCTACGGTGCGTGTGTGCATGTCAACCTCCTTATCCGCATCATTAACGGCTGTAGTTGCGCCTGCTGGTCGCTACCAAATATCGGGAGTGTATCAGAGCGTGCATTGGACTCTTGCACTAATTTCTTTTTCGTCTGTCTTTTTTATCTATTAACTACGTTGTCTAGGCGCATAAGAGCAAATTGGCGAAATATTGGAAGAGCTTGATTCAGGAACGAAGTATAGATGCACATGAGGTGGGTTTTATATTAATATGCTATTACTGTTAGTTTCACCTATTGCAAACCTACGTATATGTCATTTATGTTAGAATGCTGCTGTTGATGGCTACACTCAAGAAGTCTGCAGAAGGTCATATTTTGTATGAAAAAGCAGAAAACTGCGCCTATTCTTAAGATACTGCAGGATCTGTTAACTGAAATACAACAAAGTGAACACAGAAAGTCAAATTTGCTGAAGATGTAAGACGGGAACAGCAACGGTAGGAAACGGCTGAGGGAGAGTGATAATAACAACAAATCATCAAAAAAGCTCAAGACACAGGATCACAAAGTATGTTTCTTTTTCCTCATGTAAAATGAGTTAACTAAGCAATTTTACCAATCACCATTCATTTTTAGGATGATGATGACAGAGCACAAATAGCAACAAATATAACAGACACTCTTCTGCACGAAATTAAAAGAAATGTCCTTCACAAAATTTCAAAAGCTTCAGAGAATAGCAATTGAAAGTTACCAAGTATTTGCATTGTGCTCTCGTAGACGTTGCAATACGTCTTATAGAGGCGTCGATATATCAAATGCCAATCTTCACTCTTCATCGTCCGTTTTCGCTCTCAATCCAGTTCTTGTGCCTTGTCGATTCCGAAGGTGCAATAACGAATTTGCACCGGGTTTGAATTTCGTTTCTTTTTGTAACATACACTCTCTTTATCAAAGCACCTTTTTTTAACTTCCTTATGCCACATTTCTCACCCTGTATAAACAAGTTCCAAATATGTTATACAATTTAGTATGATCAATATGCAGTGTGTAAATAAAAAAAAAGATAATTCTTGTTCGAAAACGGGTACCGTATCCTTCCGAATTTAAGCACCTCTGCCGTCCATTCTGGATGTAATCCGTTGCCTCTTTTTGTAGTCGACACTATATGGTTTACTTCCCTCTGTCACAGAAATCTCGTAAGACTTTTCATCGGATGCGTATCCTATTCCGTCTGCACGGTCCGGGTTTCCCTTCTGACTCGTCCACCCGGACTTTAGGCAGAAAAACTTGAAAAACAAAAATAAGCTGCGTCATTTTGGTTATACGTCCGATGCGATGCTGGGTTGATGGTAGCCAGTTGACGCTGCCTATACCGAACTGACCGGCTGGAGAACTTTAGTTCGTTATAGGATTTATTGATTAGGAAAAATCGGGTCTGGTGATTCTGGTTCGGTATATCCAAAGTTCGGTATATCCAGGTTCGGTATAGGCAGGAAACTGTGGGCTCGAAAAAAACGCGTGCCGAAAAGGCAGATCCGTGATTATTAACACGTAAATCGTGAGATCATTGAACGATATCTGCACGAGACAGTTGTTAATGATATTAAGTAAAAGTTTAATACCATATGTTAGATTGTGGATGACATAAACCATACAACAAGTGCTAATTACCATACACAGGAGGTTAGAAATACGGTATTTCCTGGATAAAACCTTGTTCACAGGAGATAATAGGAACGGGAAGTTATGATTGTCTCTTAATCTCAAAGTTTTTTCTTCTTCTAAAACGGTGCGTTTGCGCTTTGAAAGCGAAGAGTTTGTTGCAAAGTGATAAATGTGCAATGGTGAGAAGCATCTGGTTATATAAATGTATTAATGGACGCGTATCCGCGCGTGTTAGATGACAAAATATGACATATTTGTACTACTCATTGCTTTGCACGTAACCTTATTAGTATAAATGTTGTTACGTATGCAATAAGAAATGCGGATAGTAAAGTTTAATTATCGATACAACATAACAAACGAACTTTTTAGTTGAGACAAAATTCGTCCACTCAATAATGTCTGACATACTTGCAAGTGCCGATATTGCGGACTAATTTTCACTTGGTGTAACACTATGCCGCGATTGTTTCGGAGTTACACGGTAAACAAATTTTACTGATTAACCCCATAATTTAATTAGACTGATCTTTGCAATAGTATCTTAATACTAATATTAATAATAGTCACATACGTAGAAACAATGTAAACATTTGGGGACGTTTTATTTTTGGAACTATGATGAGAAATGCACACCGTCACAGCAAATACAGTGACTTAATTGATATAGACAAAAAATGTAATAGAAAATTATATAAAAATTTTCTTCTTTTTTTACCGTAGCGTCCATTGACGGTTTTAAACATGCTGCGTATATTACACTGAAAATGTTTAACAAATCTTTTTTTTTTTCGATGCCTCGGTCACATCTTTTTTACTTATTTTTTCGTGATACGGTAAAAAATGTTAAGACAAACGCTAGTGGCAAATTCACGATATGAAAGCCAAGCTGTTTCAAACAGAAATGCATCATAACTTCCAATTGTTCATGATGTAGTTGCTAGATTTACAAAACCAAAAGTCTTCAAATGCAAGTATGTCAAGATATAATGAAATACGTTTACATGTGCACGCAATAACATGACGGAGCCGTTCACCTGCCCGGCAATGTTTACCAATATTATTTCAAAGTTGTCCTTTTTGGGGTAGTTTTTTGTCGGAAAATTTTATTAGCAGATAACGATAATATCGATATATTACAAGCGTATACTCGAAGTGGAATAAAATTAATTATGGGTTGCGTGGAATGACGGTCAAAATACTAAACCCAGACAATAAGAGTATGGCAAACAAAAAAGATGTGTGCCACAAAATGCAGAATATCTGTACTACGATTTGTCGGGGGAAAATGTGATAAGATAATTTTATCTCTTTACTAACTGTTTCTTTATACGTCGAACCCAGGAATTCATCGAAGACTTTATAAAGCTCGAAGACATTGTTAATCGTGATCGTCTAAAAAGATGCATGTGTCAAGATAACAGAATTTTCCTGCCCGAGGTATGGTATGATAAAAGCCAGAAAACGTCAATCCGGAAAGAATACAAAAATCAAGTGTTTCGTTAATCAGGCATCCAAAATTTTCGATCTATAATTCAATTCATAATATATAAAACTTAATATCTAAATCGCAGACAAGTGTTCAACATATAACTCATAATTTTTTTGTTACTTCATATAAATACGAAGAACCCGAAGCCTTCGTAAAGTAGTCTGAATTTTGATTTTTTTTGTCTACACATTTAGCAATTAAAATCGGTAATTATTTTTTTAACACATCGTAAAATAACTCGGTATGGTAAAACTTTATTGACTTGCATTACAATTTTTACATTTCATAATACTATATATAAAAAGTGCAAAACATCAGGATCACAACGCGTGCTCAATATAATAACCACTATTCTCGCATTTCGAATAAAAATGAAAAAATTATGCATTATCTTGTTCACTTAAACTACTTGTTGAACTCGATACAGATCAATAATAAAATTAACAAGTGCAGTTTCAGTTGCAAGAGGATTAGGAACAGCTGGTACGCACTCAATTGCAAGTGAAAGTGGAAGTATTGGATCCCAAAAGACTTGTGCAATTGGGATAATGACTTGATATTGAGGTAGGTTGGGTGCATTACAGGCAGTAGTAGTAGGAGTTTGTTTTTTTCAAATAAGGGTTCCAAACTGCCACTAAAAGTATTTAAAAGTTGTTAGATTATTTAACTATTAAAATATAAATTACAGACTTGCTTCATACTCCTGGTACCTCCTCCCTGTTGCCACAATCTAGCCGTCATAGATCTATGATATTGCCCGAGACCATTTTTTCTATTTCTTTTTGGTGTAATTTAATTCCAAGCACATATTGTATGTAAATCTGATTCATCCATAGTTGGCACTTGTCATTCCATTCTTTAGTGGATTGACGGTTGCCTACTTCACAAACGATTCCGCATGTGGCTGACCCTATGTTGAAAATATTAACTTTAGAAATCAAACGACAATCAAGATTTAGAATAATACACGACGCGCCGTGACGGAAAATCCGTGTCAGGCACAGAAATATTGTCATTCCGTGGCGATTTTTCAGGTCAGTGCAAACGCTATAATTAACTTGGAATTTATTCGTTCTTTAGTTAATTTTTGTGACAAATTCCGTGTCAAAAAAAGGTATACAAGTAGCTCAATCCCATCGTCGAAAGACTCATCCTTGATAATAATTGATGCGTTGAAACAAAGGATAAAATCTTTTAATCTACTGAATATTAAATAACGGAATTTGAAATAAAATTATGTTCTTTCTTAAATATTAATTAACTATAAAAACGGCTCACATAAATGCTGTAAGGTCTCGGCATAAGCGGCTCACACAAGCTGTAACGACCGATATATAAACGGATCATTTAAGGCTGTAAAATATCCATTGATCAATTACGCGAATGGTAGAACGAGAGTCTGTAATTAATATTATAAACGATTATTGTTTAATTAGTTTTAAAAATAGGCAAGTGACGTTTACCCGACTAGTCAATAAACCAAATCGAAGTTCGCCCTGTTTAAATTAGAATAATTAATTCCCCTTCGATTCTGTGGTATAATTATTGTTGGTATTGTCATATCATAGGTACCCTTATTTGGATACTAGTACGGGTGGTACATCGTATAGGGAGTGATGTTAACTAATTAATATTAAATTAATCACTCCTAATTTAGATTCAATCGAATCACCGAAATAAGGCCGGTGAGTTAAAGCTAAATTAGAACATCCCCCTGTTGGCGAACGCGCCTACGTGAAAGATTGTCGCTTTCTGAACCCAGACTGCCGACCGCAACAATATCGTGTTTAATTTATGAGAAGTAAACTTTTTGACCAAAACTGCAAATAAGCCATGGATTACGAAAATGGTTGAGTCACTAAAGTAAACAATGGGCATTGTTAATATTGTAAGCTAACTTCATTAATAACCAAATATTGTATTCATA